GGCGCCCGCCCCGGGCCGCCCATAAAAGCGGCCCCGCGCCCGCCCCGCTCCGCCGCCGCCGCCGCTCCGCCGCCGGCCATGGCCAAGGACCAGCTGAAGCCGCGGCTGTGCCGAATGCTCAAGGGGGAGAGCGGCTACGGCTTCCACCTGCACGGCGAGAAGGGCAAGAGCGGCCAGTTCATCCGCAAAGTGGAGCCCGGCTCGCCCGCCGAGGCGGCGGGGCTGCGCGCCGGGGACCGCGTCGTGGAGGTGAACGGGCTCAACGTGGAGCAGGAGACGCATCACCAGGTAGGGCCCGGCCGGGGCCCCGCGGGCCGAGCGGGGCTGTGCCCGCTCCAGCCGCCCTGCGGCGGGCCGGAGCGGGGTTTCACCCGAAATATCCCCGCGGGAGCATCCCCGGCCCGGGGCGGCTGCAGCGCCGGGGTGGATGCAGCGGTGGATGCAGCGGTGGGATGGGTGCAGAGGTGGCTGCAGAGGTGGGATGGGTGCAGAGGTGGATGCAGAGGTGGGTGCAGAGGTGGGCTGGGTGCCCCCCAAGCTGCCGGGGCCCGGCTCTGCGTGGCCCGGGACCCGCAGCCCCGTGCGGGGTCGCGCCGCTGGGCGCAGGGCGCTGCAGCCGTGTGAAGGTGGGAAAGGCGAAGAAAGGTGTGTGGGGCTGGGCAGGGCTCTGCCGCGTTATGCAATCTGTGGTGGAAAGGAATGGGGAGACCCAGGGCTTTATTTCCGGCTCTGCTGTGGGTTTTCTTGGCTGCTTTGGGCGAGCTGCGCCTGCCTGTGGAGCCCGGAGTGTGGGAAGATGCCTGAAAATCTCCAGATAAAGCTGTGCAGATGTTCAGCGGTTGGGCTGGCCAGAGAGAGATAGGGCTCCGAGGGGAGCCGTGGCTCTTCCTGGCCACGCTGGGACTGGGCAGGTCCGAGGGTGCTCTTTCTCTGCTCTCCCACAGAAGCTGTTTCAGGCTGTGGTATTTTCTCCCTGTAAAACTGAAACTTGCATTTGTCAAACAATTTAGTCTAAAAAAACCCAAAAAATGCGGAAAAGAACAAGCAATGAGAAAGAAAACAAACAAGCAGTGAGGTTCAAGCTACTCCAGTCCTGCTGGACACTCGGAGCCTGGCAGGGGCACAGTTTGCCTCGTGGTTTGTGGGGCTGTGCAGGATTTGGTGTTTTAGTAACTTAAAACATCTGCTCAGCCCGGCTGCCAGCGCTGCAGGGGACAGAGCTGGGATGTGCCTGGACCCCGCAGAGTTTTGGGGGGCTCTGTGTTCCCAGACCTCGGCCCAGGTGTGGATGTTGCCGTGCTGAAGGTGAAGCTGATCCTTCCAGGTGGCTCCAGTAAAGCCCCATGGACTCCCCTCCCGATCCTGGTGGGGTTGGTGGCCAGCTGAGCTTGTTTTGATGCTCTGAGCCAGCCGTGTGAAAGTTGATGTTTGTCCTGAGTGCGATTTCAAACCCCTTGAAGGAGGATCCCCATCTTTGATGTGGCGGGCAGGAAGGAGGGCTGTGTTCCTGCGGTGCCTTGGAAGCCACCCGAGCTCCCCGCTGCCGCTGGGGCCGGGCGATAGCGCAGCCAGCTGTGCCTTTGAAACGTGCTGGGGCTTCCCAGTGGGTCCAGCCAAATGGGAGGGGGAAAGTTCTCCTTCTTCCTTTTTTTTGTTGTTTGTTTTTGCTGCTGGCGGCGGGATGGAGCGCTGGCACTGGCTGCCTGCTGCAGAGCAGTGATTGGAACGGGGTGTCCAGGAGCTCGGTGCCCGCTCCGCCTGCCGTGGCACTGGGATCTGTGAGAGTGCCACTGCTGGAGCCCTGCCTGCTCCGGGATCACCCTTTTCCCTGCCTCAGTACCACAAGAACCTCTTCCTTCCCCCAAAAACTACCCAGCACCAGCGTGGTGAGGGCGATGCCCTGGCGGGTCACACAGCCACCTCACCGTGGCACTCCTCATACTGCTCCTTGCCCAGCCTTGAACAAGTAACACTTCTCCATGTGCACAGGGGAGCCCGCAGCACACCAGGCCTTGCTGCTTGGGTGTAACTGTGTTTCCAGCTGAAGCTGGCAGCATTTTTGTCTTTGTTCTCTTTTTTTTCCCTCGGCCTTGCCCAAGGAGTGAAGGCAGAGCGTGTTCTGTGTCAGAATTGCATCCTGGGTTCCTCAGAACCCGGCAGAGCCGCAGCTCCTGAGCACAGAAAGGCTCCTGGTGCCCAGGTAGCCTGGCAGCATGGAGCTGGGCACGGGCACCTCTGTGGGAGCTGCTGCTGGTGGCACCGTGAGTCCTTGGGCGCTGCTGTTTGGCAAGGGTGGCAGGGCCGGCGCTGCCGGGCTGGCGCTGCTGTCACCAGGGGTAAAGTCTGCTTGGGTGGAGCTGCGGAAATCGTGGGGCTGGGTGGGGTGCTCAGGAGGTCCCAGATGAGCAGGGCGGGCTGCATTGTCTCCAGAAGCCTGCGGGACTCCGGGCTGGGAGCATGGCTCGGAAGCGGGTACGGCGCTGGGCAGGAGCCCGCCGGGAGCTGCTGCTTTGCCTCCTGGCTCAGGGAGACCTGCGGCCTTGGGGGGCTCCTCACAGCCCCTTCTGCTCATCCTGCTCGTGGGGAGGGGGCCGGGGGCTGCTCTGCCACTCTCCATCCCTGCCTGGCTCAGCCCTGGCACTCGTGGGACCTTTGCTGCATCGCTGCTCTCGCTGTGGCTGTCGTGGGGCTCGGCCATGGGGTGAGCCCAGCACTGCTCTTCACCAGCTTTGGACACTTCTGTGGACCCTCCGGGCTTCTCTGCAGTCTGTGGGATCCCTGTGGTCCCCTGTGCTGCCTGGAGCACCCGAACTGCAGGCTCTGGGGGTGTCACTGCAGGGCCAGCACCTTCCCCGTCCGCGTCTTTGCTGTGCATTGGCTGCTGCTGCCGGGTCCCCTCTGGGAGAAGTGTCCCTGCTGGTGTCAGCAGCACCGTCTGATGTCAGGTGTAAACGGATGTGAACGGGAGCAGTTGGATTTTCTGGGCCTGATGGATCAGCACCCTCCAGGCTGGGAGCCCGGGCTCACTGCCGTGCAGGCAGAGGCTGCAGTGGATGGGTTGGTTCAGCCCTGTCTGCAGCCTGGGCATTTCTTACAGGCTGGTTTTTTTCCTTGTTTGCAGATACCGGCTCTGTTGACCTTGAGTGGAGCTCACAGGGAGTAAATAAACGCTGGTTAATTGCGTATTAGGCTCGTTTGTCGCTCTAACCTTGGCGTGTCTGGCCACTGTGACCTAGATCAGAGCAGGAGCCCTGCAGGGAGCCCCGGGCTGCTTTTGGGGGGTTCCCAGCATGTCTGGGGTGTTCAGGGCCACCCCATGGCTGGGGATGGTGGCTGAGCAATGCCACCCCTCCTCCTCCTCCTCGGGATGAAGGCTGTGCAGGGAGGTGCCCTTGGCAGCTGCCAGCAGTGAGCCTGGAGGTGGTTTCCCTGTGGACGTTTGGGGTTTTCCCTGTTTCCATCCCAGCCTGCTCCGGTGGGATTTACCCCCTGCCTGGCTGTGGGATCAGTTCCTCCTGGCTCTCTACGGTGTCAGAGCCTCTGCCAGTCCCTGATCCCTGCAAAGGAGCCGGGCACGGCAGGACAATGTCCCCATTCAGCCCTGCCTGAGCTGGATCCTGCCAGGGACGGGCTCATCTCCCGCTCCCAGCGCTGGCTCCCCTCCTCTCTGCTGGTTCTGGGGATGCATGCATGGACTGGGCTGTTTCCTTCCTAAATCTACCCCTAACCAGCACAATGGTGTGTTGGGGGACAGTCCAGCACCCACATTGGTGCTTGGAGCCTTCCTGTGCCCCCTGGCTCGTGCCCTGCTTGGGTATGGGAGTAGGACACCCTGGACTGGGGAGACGAGGGTGTTTGCTTGGTGGCACAGAGGGCTGCTGGTGCTCGAGGGGCAGTGACAGCCTCTGCAAGCTCCTGGCTGAGGAGGAGGCCATCCCAGGTAGCTGGGCAGGGTGGTCTAGGGCAGAGCTGATGTGTGGCTGCAGGACCTGGGCTGGAGGGATCTCCCAGAGCTGCGTCCTTGCCCTTTCTGCCCCATCACCGGTGCTGTCTGTAAGCTCCTTTCCATAACCCTTTACCCAGACTGGAGCTGCAGCACTGTGGGGAGCTGGTGGCCCCTGGGTGCCACCCCCAGTGTCCCCATGGCTGCAGCTGAGCCGTCCCTGCCGTCCCCAGGTCGTGCAGCGCATCAAGGCCGTGGAGACGGAGACGCGCCTGCTGGTGGTGGACAAGGAGACCGACGAGTACCTGTGCAGCCTGCGGCTCACCTGCACCGAGGACATGGTGCACAACGGCATCCTGCTGGGCTCGGGCCTGCCCCCTGCCAAGGCCAGCGACAACGGCGAGCTCTGGAAGCCACAGCTGGATCTGAGCGGGGGCAGCCTCCAGAGGCATTCCCACAGCTTCTCCTCGCACGGCAGCAGGAAGGTGAGGGCATGGCGGGGCTCTGGGGACCCCTGGGGTCTTCTTCCTCCTTGAGCATGGCTTGTCCCGTCAGAGAAAACCCTTCTGTGTGTGACTGTCACCTTGGGGACCCCCGGTGTCCCAGGCTGCCCTGTGGAATCTCTCACTCCAGGCAGCACTGCCTTTTTGGGGGCTGTGCTTTCCCTCCCCTCCAGTGCTCCCGAGGGTCTCCTGAGCTGCTGGGGGGCTCTGGGGGGCTGCCAGTGCTGGGGACAGTGACCCCACAGTGCCTGAGCCAAGGCTGGTGTGCCAGTCTGGGTCTCAGGCTGCCCAGAGCAGGGCTGGGGCCAAGCTGGAGCTCATGAATGAGCTTCTCTCCCTCCATTATTAGCAGGAGGGAGGGAACATCTGGGTTGAACATGTTCGCAGCTTTTTGCTGAAATAGGAAGTTAATTGGCTCTTTTTGAGCAGCCTGGGTCTGGACTGGGATTCAGCGCTAAGTGCCTGTTATTGGTAAACTCCTTTCCAGAAGGGAAGGAATTCGGGGTGGAACACGTCCAGTTTCCATGGCTGCGGGGCTGGAGCCGGCGCAGGCTCCTGCGGGGCTGACAGCGGGGCTGCCTCGGGCTGCGAGCGGCAGGAGCTGGCTGCGTGCGTGTCACCCTGCCCCTCGGCCCTCTGTCCCCTCCCATTCGTGTCCCCCTGTCCTGTGCAGCCTCTTCGGCACGGAGCTGCAGGGCATCCCCTGCTCCTCCTCCTCCTCTTCCTCCTCCTCCTCGCTGGGGCCCTGCAGGGGCTGCCTGCCAGCTCGGTCTCTGTCCCCTGGCACCGGGGCTGGTGGCCGAGTGCTGGCCCAGAGGTGGCCACTGGGCTGGCCCAGAGGTGGTCCCCTGTGCTGCCTGGCCCAGAGGTGGCCACTGGGCTGCCAGGAGGAGATCCATGGAAGTCGGGAAAGCGTTGTGTGCTCAGGAGCCCCCCGTGCAGATGAGGGGTGATGCTGGTGTGAGGCAGGAGCAGCCCGGCAGGAGAGCGGCTCTCACCTCTGCTGCTTCCCTCTGGAGCTGTTGGCAGTCTTGCAGAGAAGGCTCCCCCTTCCCTGGGCCAGGCTCGGAGGCAGTGCTTTATTCTTCTTTATTGCCTGATTTGAAGCTGTGTTTCCCCTGGAGCCCCCCTGGGACGAGGCTGGTGGAGACAGTGTTTTATTTTTCTTTATTTATTACCTGATTTGAAGCTGTGTTTCCCCTGGAGCCCCCATGGGATGGGACTGGGAGAGGAGCCATTCCCAGGGAGAGGGTGGCTCTCCATCCCCCTTCCCAGGGAGAGGGTGGCTCTCCATCCCCATTCCCAGGGAGAGGGTGTCTCTCCCACCCATTCCCAAGGAGAGGGTGGCTCTCCATCCCCATTCCCGAGGAGAGGATGTCTCTCCATTCCCGTTCCCAAGGAGAGGGTGTCTTTCCCACCCCTTCCCAGGGAGAGGGTGTCTCTCACACGGGGCATTTCCTCTCCTGCTCTGTTCCCCGTGCTGGTCGGGCTCCAGCAGCGGGAGCTGACGGGAAGTCAGGCCGGGGGAACAGGACGGTTCTTTCCGGCCTTTGGGCTTTGGCTCCTCCGAGGAGAGGGTGGGACAGGGAGAGCAGGGCTGGGAGGGGGGAGGAGAGCCCGTGTTCCCCCCAGAGGGGCTTTTCCTGAAGGCACAATTCCACACTGTGCTGGACCAGGGGAGCAGGCTCCAGGGGTGGATCCCCCCTGGTGGGGATGGGGTCTGGCTGCTGAGCACCTTGGGGTGTTTGCTCCTGCCTCGGCAGCTCTGGGGAGAGCTGGGCACTGCCAGCTGTCCTGCCAAGCTCACTCCTCCCTGCCAGGGCCCTGTGTGGCTCTGGGGTGAGGTCGGGGTGGCTGGAGCAGCAGGACCTGCATCCTGTCCTGTGCCTTGCCGTCCTGCCTGGCTCAAGGTGGTGAAAGCTGCTGCAGGCTCCTGGTCTGGTCCGTGTGTCCTTCCTGCTGGCTGCCAATGCAGCAGGAGGCCAGGGCGTGGTGGGGAAGGGGTGGTGGACCCCGATTTCTGCCCTGCACTGTGTCCCCCCACGGGGCAGCTCGAGCCTGACCCTAATCCAGAGATCACAGGCACTGGAATGTGCAGCTCCCAAGTGTGGTGGGGGTTTTTTGGGAGATTGCTGCTGCAGCGAGGCTGTGACAGCTGGGATACACTCAGAGATTTGGCCCCAGCCAGATTTAGGGCTTTTCTGAGCTTTCCTGGAGGCGTGCAGTGAAGGAGAGGAGGCAGCTCCTTCCCCCTGCAGCCCCAGGGTGTCCCTGTGGGAATGGGGCCGCTGCTCCAGGGAGCTGCATTTTTGTCAGCAGTGTTTGTTTATAGAAAGGCTGGAGTTTTCCTGCATTGGAGGCCGGGGTTGTTCAGGACAGCCTGAAAAGACGAGCAGAGGAGGGAAATCTGGTGGCTGTGATGGAGCAGGGAGGGTGGGCACGGCCCTGCCACCCCCCAGAGCTGCCGTGGGTGGGGAGGTCACCCTGCACCAGCAACCTCGTGCTCCAGGACTCCAGGAACCTCGGTGATGCCATGAATAATTCAGCATGTATTTAAAATCCTGCCCGGGGAGCAGGTCAGCAGGGCTGGCAGCCAGCAGCTGTGGCTGTCACAGCCCTGCTGTGGGCACAGTGCCCTGCGTGGCCGTGGTGGCACAGGGAGCCAGGGCTGCCCTGTCCCACAGAGTTGTGCCCATTCCTGTGTCTGCTGGGCTGGGGGGTTTGTCCCACTCTGTCCCCTGGCAGGGGGCAGCACCTTTGCAGGGGCTGTGGCTCTGCTGTCCCGTTCCTGCTGGGCACTGGGACCCCGTTATGGCCATTAGGGATGTCCTTGGGACTTGCTGCCTTCTCCAGGTGTGTTTGTAGGAGAAACAAGAACAGCAAAGCCAGAGAGGCATTGGGGGTGATGCAATTCCCTTCCTTCGTGCTCTGGTCTGCAGGGGGTGGGTGTGCAAAGGGACCTTTCCAAGTTTTGTGAAGGATGAACTTCTCCAGGGTTTGTCCTCTGGAGCACAAACCCACACCTTGGAGCTGCTGGATTCCAGCCTGTGGAGTCTGGGAGTCTTCATGGGGGGGATCAGTGGCTGGTTGTTGGTTGTGCTGTGCTGGGGAGGGATGTGTCACCTCAGGGTCACTGCTGGCAGGAGCTGGAGGCAGCAGGCTGGTGTCCTGGGGTGACACGGGGGTGGTGGCAGCTCCTGAGCCCCTGTGTGTGTGGGGACAGCTGTGCTGCTCTGCAGGACCAGGTGTGGGGTCAGTGCTGACCTCGAGGCTGTCAATATTTACCTTCTCTTTGGGCCAGGAGGCAGAACTTTTGCCTGTTCCAAAAACCCCTGGTGCTGTGGTGTCTCCGCTGTGAGGGAGGAACTCAGGACAGATGGCTTTGGAGCACTTGGCCAACTCAGCCCAGGCCCGAAATTTAGGGCTTGTAGAATAACCACAGAGATGTAATAAAACCTAACATGAGCAGAAATGTCTGCAGCAATTATGCAATTGGAAAAATAAATAAATAAGTGGCTGGTTTGAATTAAAGCACTTCCCTGCAGCATCCTCCACCACCCGCGGGGGCTGTGGGAGGGTGGCATTGGCAAGGATGGCAAAGCTGAGCCCTGGCACGGCCTGGTGATGCCCCTGCTGTGCAGGGAGAGGTGTGGGGAGCCCTGGGACACAGAGCTGTGGCTGTGTCCCTGTGTATTCCCTGCCCTTCCCACAGCAGCTGGGTTTGGGGATGCCGTGAGAGGGCAGAGCCGGGGGGCAGCAGGGCTGTGCCACCCTGGGGGGCAGCAGGGACATGCCACCCCCTGGGGACAGCAGGACTGTGCCACCCTCCTGGAGGGCAGCAGGGACTGTGCCACCCTCGGGGCAGCAGGGGCTGTGTCACCCTGGGGGCAGCAGGGGCTGTGCCACCCCCGGGAGGCAGCAGGGGCTGTCACCCTCGGGGGACAGCAGGTGCTGTGCCACCCCGGGGAGCAGCAGGGACATGTCACCCAGGGGGCAGCAGGGCTGTGCCACCCTCAGGGGACAGCAGGGGCTGTGCCACCCCGGGGGCTCTGCCCATTTCTGCTTTAATAAAACCATTTTTCAAAGCCAGCCGTGCCGCTGCAGCGTGAGCTGCTCCTGGCTGAGGACAGGGGATGGCTGAGGCAGGGACGGTGCCTGCAGAGCCTCTGCCACCCCCCGAGTCCTTGCCATGGGCACCCCTGTGCCCTGAGGCCGTACTGTGCCACCCCCTGGGGACAGCAGGACTGTGCCACCCTCCTGGAGGGCAGCAGGGGCTGTGCCACCCTGGGGGGCAGCAGGGGCTGTGCCACCCTGGGGAGCAGCAGGGACATGTCACCCTGGGGGCAGCAGGGCTGTGCCACCCTGGGGGCAGCAGGGCTGTGCCACCCTGGGGGCGGCAGGGGCTGTGCCACCCCGGGGGCTCTGCCCATTTCTGCTTTAATAAAACCATTTTTCAAAGCCAGCCGTGCCGCTGCAGCGTGAGCTGCTCCTGGCTGAGGACAGGGGATGGCTGAGGCAGGGACGGTGCCTGCAGAGCCTCTGCCACCCCCGAGTCCTTGCCATGGGCACCCCTGTGCCCTGAGGCCGTGCCTGGGCTGGGGGCTCGGCCAGGGGTCCCCGGTTTTGGGGTTCCCATCCCGCAGCAGCCGGCGGAGCTGCGGGGCCGCGCTGCTGACCCCGCTGCATTATTGATGTCGCCGGGCTGTGGCATCGCGTTGCCCTGAGGCCGTGCCTGGGCTGGGGGCTCGGCCAGGCGCGGCCAGGGGTCCCTGGTTTTGGGGTTCCCATCCCGCAGCAGCCGGCGGAGCTGCGGGGCCGCGCTGCTGACCCCGCTGCATTATTGATGTCGCCGGGCTGTGGCATCGCGTGTCACCGGGCTGGGGTGGCCCCGGAGCGGCTCCAGCTCCCCGGCAGTGGGGGCTGGGACGCGAGGGGATGCGAATCCTCATCCCTGGCAGTGCCCAGGGCCGGGCACAGGGGCA